CATTGTTCTCTTTGTGGGTGAAGAAACAGCATTAGAAAAACACAGAGCAACTGACTGCAAAGGTCACATAAGTCCCCAGACAGCTGGCCCCAAGGATACTAGAGTTCACTACTGGTCGCTGCTCACAGCAGCCTTTTACTTGCCCGCGCCAACTTCCCCCAGTTGTAAGAACCATCTGGGAAGCAAAACAATTTTTAAAAAGCGTGTATTTTTAAAGCAGCTTCATGGTTTTTGATGTCATCTCGTTCTAACAGTCGCATGAAGTCAACCGCCACTGTCATTGTGGATCAGGTTTCTGGTGACAATCATGTGAGATGCATTCTCTCATTGCCTGGCTGTCTACCAAGGCAGGGAAATTTTGCATGTCAAAATAGGCAGACCCGAGATGGTCCCCAGAACCCATTTGCTCATGGCACACAATGCCTTAAAGGGTTTCTGTCTAGATTAGTTGGCATTGTTCTTTCTCCTGGGTTACTCGGTTGTGGTGTGACAGACATGATTTGAAATAGAGGGCCATGACTTATCCTGCCTACCCAGACACATTTGAATTGTCAGAGGTATGTTTCAAGTATGGTGGGAGCTGGTTTCAACCCGGAGACAGGTTGAGGTATTAGAGCAGACATGTTGTTCCCCTGGCTCCTTCTTGTTTACTGTGGAATGAACATGGGAGTGCGGCTCCAGGTCATGGAACACAGCACGGAGACCTGGCAGGATCCCGTTTCTGGGGAGAATGCTGGCTGTGGGAAAGGAAGTAAATGGCTCTGGGGAGCTGGGCTGAGGCTCCATTCCAACCCTGGCAGAGGGAGCTGGCACCTGGGGGACTTCCATCTACCTGAGGTGGGAGGGCCCTGGCCAAGGGCCCACATTCCTCTGTCAGACCTGGCAGATGGCTGTCACTTCCCTGAGCTTGCTTTATACTCCTGTCTTGTCCTCCTCCGGCCACTGAACTAGACCTGCTGCGAAGAACGTGTCTTTGGCAAGGGAGATCTATGAAGGAAGAGAAAGAGCAAACAAGGCTCAGGCCAGCACTGCTGAGCAGAACAGGCAGCCTGCAAATGGAGCTTTGTCTTCTGCCTTGACCTTGTCTAGGAAAACCAACACACAGACTTCAAATTATTAAGTAAAATCAAGCAGTGCGATCTGAGACACACTGTCTTCCACACTCCTATGATTCCCTTTACCTTCCGGATTCACTCACAGGATTGCTGGGAAATGTGGAAGGAGAAAATATCATAAATTCCTTCCGGCTCTAAAACACTAGAACTTTAGGAATATTCCAGCTCTTTAGGTGTAAACTGAAATGGCAGAAGAAAATGGTCTTGGGCTGCAGTGACAGCTCAGTCAGTGAGGTCCTTGTCCTGTAGGCATGGTGGCCTGGCCTGACCGATCCCCAGAGTTCATAGCTTCAAAAAGCTAGATGTGAGAGTATATGACTTTAATCTGTGGACATAGAAGCATCTTCGAGGCTGACTGGCCACCCAGCTTGTCTATTTTGTGAAGTTTAGGCTAGTGAGAGACTATCTCAAAAGGAAGGGAGGGGAGGAGAGAAGAGGCAAGGAGAGAGGAGGGAGGAAGGAAGAATGGAAGGATTGGAATGAAGGGAAGAAGGAAGAAAGAAGAAAAAGAGATAGGTAGGTAGATAGGTAGGTAGGTAGATAGATAGATAGATAGATAGATAGATAGATAGATAGATAGATAGATAGATAGATAGAGATAGATAGATAGAAAGGCAAATGAAAAGATCAATGTTGACCTGTTTGGTTTTGTTGGTTTTGTTTTTTGTTTGTTTGTTTGTTTTTTGAGACAGAGTCTCTGTGTAGTCTGGTTGGCCTGGAACTATGTAGATCAGACTGGCCTTTAACTCACAGAGATCTGCTTTCCTCTGGTGGGATTAAAGGCATGCACCACCATCCCTGGCTTAAATGTTTTATTTAAATATGAGTCTTGTTTTTTTTTTAACTTAAATCTTTCTCTTGGACATATATTTTTTCAGCTGAGATCTTTTGCCTTCCCTACTTGGTTTGAAGTACTGACAACAATGGTTCACATTCTCAAGCATTTCTGACATAAATACTTATATTTTCATCAGTATTCAGTCTTGTCTAATGATAGCCCATAGCACCTGAGGAATGGGAGCTGAAGCTATCCTCTGGCCTACACACACACACACACGCACACACCCAGAGAAAAACATCATCTCAGGCTCCTAAACTACCCAGCCCAAACCTGCAAATACCTATGCACTATTGGGCACTACCGAGAGCAGTGAAAGTTCTAGCTCATCCAGTTACAGTTATTAGCTAATCGTAGTTCCAAAGTTCACAACCCACCATTCGCTGCGACAAACTCATTCACTAACTTCATATTTTTCCATGATTTACTTCAACTTCATAATGTTTGTTTTTTCCTTTTGCCAAATGTGCTTTCTAAATAAAGCAGGCAGTCCTGCATCAATGAGATGCCAAAGCTGACAAAAAAAAAATAATGCATCTTTTCTTCAAACTCCCTAATTGCTCCGGGAAGTAGGGGGCCCAGGGAGGTGAGAAACCTCTGCACACATCCGTATGTCCGGCTGCAAGCCAGGCTGTTTATGAATCCTTGCAGCAACAGATGTTCCGGTGACTTCAGGAAGCATCCGGAGGGTAAAGGCAGAACACAGATACTATTATCCCTAGCTGTCCTTGTGTTCCAGATGACAGCCACACCATCTTGGCTATGCCTGGGCCATCTTTGTAGCCATATAAAATCGATGGCCTTCCTCTAGGACTCTGTACCTAGCAAATGTGAAGCTGAGGCAAACGGTGCAGTTTTCCAGACACCTGATGGTGCAGTGGAGAATGAGGCCTGCTGAGTGGACCACAAGAGGCACAGAATGCAGGGCGACCCAGACGCTCTGAGCACGGGGGTGAGACAGCCATCCCCACTGCTGACTCACAGTGATGACCTTTTACCCAGATTTTATCCTGCATAGGCCAAAGGAACCGGCCTCACTTGTTCCCACTGTCTGGGATCAGGATGTGTGTAATGACTGGCGAAGGGGAAAGAGCCATAGAGGCCTCCCCCAGTTAGTACCTCCACATGAGGAAGCCCCATGGGGTGAACGTCCGTTCTTCCTAGCCAGCTATGGATCATGTTTGCATGTTATAAGGAAGCACTTGGTCCTTCAAAATTCCAAATTGCTGGAAAGCAACCTAGACAAGTGTGATAGTTAATATCGATTGTCAACTTGACAAAGTCAAGAATCACCTAAGAGACAGATTTCTGGGCATGCCTGGAAGAGTCACTAGATTAGGTCCGTTGACACGGAAATGCCCACTGTGAGTGAAGGCAAAACCATTCCATGGACTGGGGCCATGGACTGAGTTCAAACAGGGAAGCGAGCTGAGAGTCAGTGTTCACCCCGCTTCCTGACTTCAGAGGGAAGGCAGGCATCAGTTCGCATCCCGCCATGACCCCCCACTTCGCATCCCTCTGTGCCTCCCCACTTCGCATCCCGCCATGCTTCCCCACTTCGCATGCTGCCATGCTTCCCCACTTCGCACCCCGCAGTGCCTCCCCACTTCGCATCCTGCCATGCCCCCCAATCCGCATCCCGCCATGCCTCCCCATGGTGGTGGACTGTATCTTCACACCATGAGACAAAGCAAAGCCTTCCTGCCTTAATCTGCTCTGGTTGGTATTTTTTTGCTACAAGAACAGTAAATTACATCAGAAGTCACATGATCTATTGAACATCCACAACTCCAAGATCTACTTTCGCAAGTGTGAAGACTCAATAAGATAATGTAAATAAAAACTATGAAACAGATAAAATATTGATAGTTACCATTAAGATGTCCTTCATTCTAAAATCACCACATATTATATGAAAAAAAGATGTAAAAAGGGTTAGAATCTTGCCAGTAAGCCACAACCTCGTGGTGAACACAGATTAATAGAAATGGGTTAGATCAAGATGTGAGAGCCGATAAGAAGCTAGAGATAATGGGCCAGGCAGTAATTTAATTAATACAATTTCTGTGTGGTCATTTCAGGTATAAACTAGCCGGGCAGGAAGGAACAAGGGGCCCCGCTTCTTTTAACATGTGGCCATAGTCTGTCCAATCAACAGTGCCAGCCGTGAATCTACATCCACAAACACAGAGAAGGTGGACCACTAACTCACACAAGATACAAAACACCTCAGAGTGAGTCAAAGATACAAATAGTAACAAATAAAGCAAAAAAAAATTATTGGGACAGCAAGATAGCTCGGTGGGCATGTGTGCACCTACACACACACACACCAAACCAAAAAAAAAAAAAAAAACCAGTTTTTAAATAAAAAAAATTCCTAAAAGAAAATATTCATAAAAGTCTGGCAGAGACAAGGTGCTCGCTGCCAATCCTGACCACCTGAGTTCGATTCCTGGGCCACATGTGGTAGGAGAACAGAGCACAGATCTTCACTCTGTGCTCCACTCTGGACAGTGGCATGTGCTATGCATGGGTGCACCGTGTGCACACATGCGCAATAGTGGTGTTATTAAAGTAAACACAACGAAACGGGCTAGGCCAGCTACTCTGTGACTGTACCAAGTTGTTGAACTGCTCACTTCACTGCAGGACTGCACAGTATATGGATATGATTAGAATAAGGCTGTTGGGAAATAATTCCATGAGCTAAAGAAATATGTCATTTGGAAATGAGAATTTAAATATAACTCTGTGGCAACGGTTTCTGTCTGTTCTGCTTTGGTTGTGTGAGCATAGTTCACTATCTGCCATGAACTAACTCAGAACATAAGCCTCATATGTGGGGAAAAGGCAGGCCGGGAAGCTGATGACATCTTGGAAAAATTCAGATTCCCACCAAGATAAACCGAATATTTCTCAGCAACTGACGCACAAGACAGCTAAGAGGAGTTCATTTTCAACACAAGCTTTTGCGGCCACCTCCTCAGAGAAGCAAGAGCAGCTACAGCAGTTTGGTTGGAACTTCTGTTCAAAGTGAACCTTACCTGTGGGCTTTCAGGATTCTCTGGGCAATAGCATCGCCCACCTTGTTGAACACGACTTTATCATCGGCACAGCTTATAAAAAATTGGTTCTGTGAGAAAAATAGGACACTTGGGTAAGGCCGTGTTTTCTCTAGGAGATGTGTAGAATGAGGGAACAAATACTATATCGGTGACAGAGAAAATGGCTCACACAAGGATATGTGTACGTGGTCATGTGTGTGGGCACATGTGTTTGTGCTGGTCAGAGTACCCATGTGCACATGGTCATG